AACAGTATTAACGTCAAACGGAAGAACCAAGGACACGGGTGGTTCCTAATGTTATGAAATTCTCGCTAGTGTTTAGAGAACAACTGGTTCTGAGCGATTAGAATCAGGACCTGCAATTGTAACAGTAAGCAACTGTAACAAAATGGATGACTGCAGTGTAGCCGTTATTAGTACAGTCGTGGTCAAAAGTTTGGAGAATGACACAAGTATTGGTCTTCACAAAGTTCACTGCTTCAGTGTTATGAGATAATTTTGTCAGATGTTACTATGGTATACTGAAGTATAATTACAAGCATTCCATAAGTGTCAAAGGCTTTTATTGACAATTACATTAAGTTTATGCAAAGAGTCAACATTTGCAGTGTTGACCCTTCTTTTTCAAGACCTCTGCAATCACCCCTGGCATGCTGTCAATTAACTTCTGGGCCACATCCTGACTGATGGCAGCCCATTCTTGCATAATCAATACTTGGAGTTTGTGGGTTTTTGTTTGTCCACCCGCCTCTTGAGGATCGACCACAAGTTCTCAATGGGATTAAGGTCTGGGGAGTTTCCTGGCCATGGACCCAAAATGTTGATGTTTTGTTCCCCAAGCCACTTAGTTATCACTTTTGCCTTATGGCAAGGTGCTCCATCATGCTGGAAAAGGCATTGGTCGTCACCAAACTGTTTTTGGATGGTTGGGAGAAGTTGCTCTCGGAGGATGTGTTGGTACCATTCTTTATTCATGGCTGTGTTCTTAGGCAAAAATTGTGAGTGAGCCCACTCCCTTGGCTGAGAAGCAACCCCACACATGAATGGTCTCAGGATGCTTTACTGTTGGCATGACACAGGACTGATGGTAGCGCTCACCTTGTCTTCTCCGGACAAGGTGTTTTCCGGATGCCCCAAACAATCGGAAAGGGGATTCATCAGAGAAAATGACTTTACCCCAGTCCTCAGCAGTCCAATCCCTGTACCTTTTGCAGAATATCAGTCTGTCCCTGCTGTTTTTCCTGGAGAGAAGTGGCTTCTTTACTGCCTTTCTTGACACCAGGCCTTCCTCCAAAAGTATTCGCCCCACTGTGCGTGCAGATGCACTCACACCTGCCTGCTGCCATTCCTGAGCAAGCTCTGCACTGGTGGTGCCCCGATCCTGCAGCTGAATCAACTTTAGGAGACGGTCCTGGCGCTTGCTGGACTTTCTTGGGCGCCCTGACGCCTTCTTCACAACAATTGAACCTCTCTCCTTGAAGTTCTTGATGATCCGATAAATGGTTGATTTAGGTGCAAGCTTACTAGCAGCAATATCCTTGCCTGTGAAGCCCTTTTTGTGCAAAGCAATGATGACGGCACGTGTTTCCTTGCAGGTAACGTGTCCTTTGGTCTGGAGTCCAAATTGGAGATTTTTGGTTCCAACCGCCGTGTCTTTGTGAGACGCGATGTGGGTGAACAGATTATCTCCGCATGTGTAGTTTCCCACTGTAAAGCATGGAGGAGGAGGTGTTATGGTGTGGGGGTGCTTTGCTGGTGACACTGTCTGTGATTTATTTAGAATTCAAGGCACACTTAACCAGCATGGCTACCACAGCATTCTGCAGCGATACGCCATCCCATCTGGTTTGGGCTTAGTGGGACTATCATTTGTTTTTCAACAGGACAATGACCCAACACACCTCCAGGCTGTGTAAGGGCTATTTTACCAAGAAGTAGAGTGATGGAGTGCTGCATCAGATGACCTGGCCTCCACAATCCCCCAACCTCAACCCAATTGAGATGGTTTGGGATGAGATGGACGGCAGATTGAAGGAAAAGCAGCGAACAAGACTGTTAGAAAAGCATTCCAAGTGAAGCTGGTTGAGAAGAATCTTTGAAGAATCTCAAATATAAAATATATTTTGATTTGTTTAACACTTTTTTGGTTACTACATGATTCCATATGTGTTATTTCATAGTTTTGAGTCTTCACTTATATTCTACAATGTAGAAAATAGTAAAAAAAATTAAGAAAGCCCTTGAATGAGTAGGTGTGTCCAAACTTTTGACTGGTACTGTATGTAGTTCTGTACCTGTCTATTAATGTTATGTATGATGTCATTTTAAGTAGCTCTGCCCTTCAGCTGTACTGGTCTATTAATGTTATATATGATGTCATTTTAAGTAGCTCTGCCCTTCAGCTGTACTGGTCTGTTAATGTTATGTATGATGTCATTTTAATTAGCTCTGCCCTTCAGCTGTACTGGTCTATTAATTTTATGTGTGATGTCATTTTAAGTAGTTCTGCCCTTCAGCTGTACTGGTCTATGAATGTTATGTTTGATGTCATTTTAAGTAGCTCTGCCCTTCAGCTGTACTGGTCTATTAATGTTATGTATGATGTCATTTTAAGTAGCTCTGCCCTTCAGCTGTACTGGTCTATTAATGTTATGTGTGATGTCATTTTAAGTAGCTCTGCCCTTCAGCTGTACTGGTCTATTAATGTTATGTGTGATGTCATTTTAAGTAGCTCTGCCCTTCAGCTGTACTGGTCTATTAATGTTATGTGTGGTGTCATTTTAAGTAGCTCTGCCCTTCAGCTGTAATGGTCTATTAATGTTATGTGTGATGTCATTTTAAGTAGCTCTGCCCTTCAGCTGTAATGGTCTATGAATGTTATTTTATTCATTTTAAGTACTCGCCCTTCAGCTGTACTGCTATGTTATGGAGTCATTTAAGTACTCTGCCCTTCACTGTCTGTTTATTAATGTTATGGTGTGATGCCATCTGTTAAGTAGCTCTGCCCTTCAGCTATACTGGTCTATTAATGTCATGTTTTATGTGGACCCCAGGAAGGGTAGCTGCAGCTTTGGCTCTAGTTAATGGGGATCCTAATAAAATACTAAACACGGTACTATTTGTGGAACTGATCTTGACAGCTAAAAGATAAAGTGTTTGCAAGTCAGGATAATCACTCTCTAGATATTTTTGGTCTTTCTTGCGATTCTTTCCTTCCCTCATTGAAAATGTTTCCTTTTGGATTGTAACATCTTATTATGGAATACAAAGACTTCTCCACGTTCAATGTGAATTTGAGAAGAGGTTCCAAGTATGAACAAACTACTGTGATGACAAAATTATCTTGTTTCAGAGAGTGGATTATCAACAGTTTTAGAAATTCGAATTTATTCTCAACGGCTTTGATGAAGGGGACTAAGCTGGCGGCGCTCCAGATTTGACGTGAATTCAGACTGACTAACTAGCTGTTGGAGAATGATTACTTTAGATAGTCTCTCAATGCTATATTTCCCCACTTAAGATACACTTCTAAATGTCTGTGTGTTTTTCTAAGGGAATGGTACCCCCATGTTGCCCTTAGCATCATCAAACCATCCTTGAACTCCAACATCTCTCTCTAACGAGTAAAACAATGGTTTATGTGGTTGTATTGAGACTCACTGAGAGCTAGAGAGGAGTGGGAATGTCCTGCTGTTTTCCCATCCTCTCACACACTGACTTCAAAGCCAAACTGAATTAGCAAAACACAAGGTTATTAACAAAGTGATTAGCTAACTATATAGCTAATCATTACGTGTCCCACTTTAGGATTGGACAGGTCTAGTCCAGCAACAGTAAGCGCTGCGGCACAAGTGCAATGTACCTAAACTATCCTGTGTCTAGTAAGTTAGGCCTAAAGGAATCTCTCAGAATATCAGAGTATTAAAAGTCCCCTACATGAAAGCAGTATGACCTTGGCCTCACCTCAATCCACATCACATCCTTTAGCAGCAAAATAATTAAAAGACAAAAAGAATATGATGAGAAATATGATATTGTCTCACTTTCACTGTAATCTTGCTAAACTAAAGGAACAGGAACACAGAGTAGCCTTGAGCTAGATATATAATCCTCTTGAGGTGTTCTGAATAAGTGTCAGGTGTCTTTAAACACTCTGGTTTTAGGCCCAGTGTGGGATGAACATGCCCTCTGGTGAGGCCTGGGGGCACACACCCACCACCACACAGTGATGCTCTCTGATCGACTCCTCTTGTAGGGAATCTGCTGCTGCTTTGTGTTAAACCATTACAGTCTAAGCCCTGTCTAAGCCGGGGGAATGGGGGGTCTACATTTTACATTTGAGTAATTTAGCAGACGCTCTTATCCAGAGTGACTTATAGTTAGTGAGTGCATACATTATTTATTTTTTCCCATACTGGCCACCCGTGGGAATCGAACCCACAACCCTGGCATTGCAAACACCATGCTCTACCAACTGAGCTACATCCCTGCCGGCCATTCCCTCCCCTACCCTCGACGACGCTGGGCCAATTGAGCTATATGGAATTGTTTTAAAGAAGGTCATACCAAGGATCATTTTGCTATTTGATTTTGAATTTTAAGACCCCTTGAAGTATAAGAAAATATATCTAAAACAAATATTTGATGAAAAATGTTATTTGGCCTTACTGCTATTATCCCATACAAACGCATTGAATAACAGATTCACTACATGGAACAACAGATAGTCCCACCAAAAAAATCTCAAGGAAGTTTGTTCTGAAGTGTCTGTCCTAAATCTGAGAGATTACTGTAAGAAAGGTCAGGAAACATTAGTTGGTGGTTTTTTACATGTATTTAACCCCTTATTTTTGGCACTAAACAGTCTAAGCCCAGTCTAAGCCGGGGGAATGGGGGGCATACTAAGCTATATGGAATTGTTTTAAGAAGGTCATACCAAGGATAATTTTCTATTTGATTTTGAATTTTAAGACCCCTTGAAGATATCAAAAATGTTATTATTTACAACATTATTTGATTAATCATTTTATTTGGCCTTCCCTGCTATTAGCCCATACAAACGCATTGTATAACAGATTCACTACATGGAACAACAAATAGTCCCCCCCAAAAAATGATTAGGTATTAAGATGTAGCTAGAGGGAAACCTGGCCAGTGATTTTAGTGTTTACACTGACCTGAGTGTTGTTGAGCAGACTGGTGCATTAACTGAGACTCTCATTATGAAGTTGCAGAAGAAAACTTACCAGCATGACAACACACCAGTTGAGGACTCCTCTGTAGTTCCTGTAACCACTGGCAGAGCTCAACAGGGACTCCTGCAACCTGTGGCAACTGGGGCATGAAGAGACATGGATAGTTTGAATACGTGCGCACTCATTTACTATACTACAGCTATAGTTAACTGATCTGAAATACCCTTCCCAAATGACTTCCGCAACACACCACTGACTTCCCTTCGAGATTCAAAATGACATATAGCCTACTGAACCAGCATGGGTGACATATAGACTATGCGAAAGGGTTCAAAGTAATATGCACATAATTCATTCTACGCCATTATAAATAGTGTTCATATAAGGGAAGATTTCACAAGTAGGTGCAGTAATAAATACAGTCACGAGCTGTTTTCCCTGGCATAAATTCACCCCACTATAAGGACACGTCCGGGTTTTGTTAGTTTATGCCTCACCTCTGTCTATCATTAGGAACATCTATTCGTTTCTTCCTTTCCTTTGACGTTGTAGAAGGCAAATCGGTTACATTTCGCTTCGTTACAATGTTGCCGCTGTCACCGGGGCCGTTGATACTTTCATCAACCGCTGACCGTCCATTCACTTGTTTCAAAGTAACACCTTTTCCAGAGGATATAGTGGCTCTTCTTTTGCGGGTAATGGCCCCTATTGCTTCCATGATATCGTCGATCTTCAGTGCTCTAGATTAATGTGACGTGTAGCCTACTTTGAGGGCAGCTATAACACATGCCCACTATTGCCAAACATCACACTGTCAGAGAGAGCAAGAGGATATTGGGATTGCAAAACGCGGTACTGTATGAATACTGTAGTTGTACTGAGGAGCAAGCAACAGTTCCGTATTGACACAATACGTAGGAATGTGGCGTGGTGGAACAGAACCGTGGAGGAATAGCGAGTCTCACGCGGACAATGGCTGGGCTGATGCCAGCGATGAAGGCAAGGGCTATATTACAGTTTTTTTCAATTGTTTACACGCGATTTTGAAAACAGAGTTCTTTTTGTCAAAATATAATCACAATTATCCAAACACCACAATCAATTAGCAAAATTCCTAGATTGTTTGCAAAATGACACACTTCAGTCAAAACATACACACTTCAGTCAAAACATATACACATATTTGTGAAAATGCTATTTGTTTTCATTTAACCAACACAGTCATCAATGATCATACACTATTGCAGCCAGTTTCACACTGCTGTGATAAATAAAAAACACATTTGTAAAAAAAAAAAAAAAAAAGATTTTTGGCCAGACATTCTTACTGTATGTGAGATATAATTTAGGTGACAAAAAATAGTGAGAAACTCACAACATTATTCATGATTTGTTTTGAGATATAAGGAGAATGTAGACAAATACTGTAGGCCTACTATAACCTTACCAAGCACTGCACAACACTTGATGCTGCAGACTGAATATTTCAAGTATTTATTTCAATACTTACAGTATTTCTTACCATAATCAGTTACAGTAATCAACCAACAATGATATCAATTACTGTAAACAAATAAAATCCGTAGACAAATAAAAATTACTGCATGAATTACTGTACATACACTTTGACTCTGAAGAAAAGTAAAGTAAAAGTAAACAGAAATGAAAGAAAACTACTGTAAAAGCAACAAGAATACTGTAACTATCCGTCTCTCCGTCTGGCTGGATCAGGCCATAACATTTCATCCACATCACAGGCTATGTCTTCATTGGCAAGGCACCGTTGGAAGAATCGCCTTGTGTGACGAATCCACCCCTGCACTGAAGCTGCTTCAATAAGAGCACGGCGCTTGTAACGCCAAGGTAGTGGGTTCGATCCCCGGGACCACCCATACACAAAATGTATGCACGCATGACTGTAAGTCGCTTTGGATAAAAGCGTCTGCTAAATGGCATATTATTATTATTTATTATTAATAAGATCACATGCCTGTTCCATGGCCTGAATGAGGGGCAAACGGTCATAAGGCCGCAGGTCATATACCTTCCACCGCCACGCTGAAAAAAATTATTCTATAGGATTCAGGAAGGGGGAGTATGGGGGAAGGTATAAAACTTCAAAATCAGGGTGATCATGGAACCAGTTCTGGACTAGAGCAGCCCAATGAAATGAGACATTGTCCCAAACGACAATGTACCGCATCTGGTCCACTTGGTGTAATGCTGTGACAATCTCATGCAATCGGTCAAGAAATGCAAGTATCAGATTTGCATTATAGGGTCCCAGATTTGCATGGTGGTGGAGGACCCCATTTTGTGTGATAGCAGCGCAAAGGGTGATGTTACCCCCTCGCTGCCCTGGCACATTGGTGATTGCCCTGTGCCCAATTACATTTCTCCCTCTTCTTCTTGTTTTTGCAAGGTTAAATCCAGCCTCATCCACATATATAAATTCATGTTGAATTTCAGCAGCATCCATTTTCAAGACTCTCTGAAACACATTAAAGAAAATAGGATGCTATTCAATATCTATAGCACAGTATTTTTTTTGTGACAGAACATTATGAGCAGTGCATGATACCACACCATAGTCAGATGAACAATGCATACCTCCACATACTCATTGCACAGATGTTTCACTCTCTCTGAATTTCTGTCAAATGGTACCCGATACAGTTACTTCATGTATATTTGATTTTTCTTTAGGATTCGGCCTAATGTTGACAGAGAGACTCGTTGGATGTTATTGAAAATATTGTCATCATTGATGATATTGGCTTGGATTTCTCGTAGCCTGATACAATTATTGGCCAAAACCATGTTCACAATGGCGGCCTCTTGTGCACGACTAAACATAGGGCCCCTTCCACCTTGGTGTCCTCGACCCTCAATCCTATGTAAAAACAAAATAAGATAAAAATAAATAAATAAATATATATATATATATATATATATATATATATATATATATATATATATATATATATATATATATATATATATATATGCAGCCTACTGTCAAATGTCACAGTAAACAATATTGATTATACAAGCTTCAGTTTCAATGTATACTGTGTGGTTAGCTTACCTGTTTTCTCGATGAAATGTCAGAATTACTGACGCAACAGTATTTCTGCTGAGATTTGGTTGAACTCTTTGTCCAGCTTCCATCAGTGTCAGTCCATGGTTGATAACATGGTCAATAAGTGTTGCACGGATTTCTCGAGTCAAATTTGGTCCTCGTCTTCTTTGTTCAGGTTCTATCAACTCTTCAAGTCCTTCTCTACCTCTTCCTCTACCTAGGTGTCTTCCTCTACCTCCTTCTCTTCCTCTACCTTCTTCTCCTCTACCTATGCCTCTTCCTCTACCTCCTTCTCCTCTTCCTCTACCGCCTTCATCTCCTCTTTGAGCTCCCCCTCTCATTCTCACTCCTCTTCTTCTTCTAACTCCTTCCATTTTTGTTGAAGACAGGTGAACTCACCTGCTGCCTTTTATAGCACACCTGAGTGCTGCGTTTTCAAATTAGCACATGTGTGCTTCCACACCTGGTAGATGTGTTTATCCAATTCGTTCATTAGTGTGGTAATTGGCAATCCGGTGCTTTGTAATTACAAGGAAGTAACCTCACGATCCTTATCTGTGTCTAAGGTGTGAAAATGTGTGTAGAGTTTTACAAATCACTGTGTGTAATGTTTTGCAAAAAGGGTGAGGCGGACATTGTGTGTAATGTTGTGCAAATCTGTGGAGGTGTTTTGCTCATTGGAGTCCAATTTTGCTAATTGTGTGGAAATTTTAATTTTAGTGTGTAAACAATCGTAAAAAACTGTAAATTAGGGACAGATCGCAATTTAATGGGGGGAGCGGTGGTCCAAAATAGTTTTGCTTTGGGGAGAGTTGTGTGCACAGGGGAGGCTAGTATGTTTTCTTTCAAGGTTAACATTCACTCTTTTCCAGGTTTTACTATATAATTTATTCCATCCTAGCCACTTGTCCTCAATTGCTTGCATGCGCCTCCCCTATATCAAGGTGTTTTGGTTCTTTCCTTATGCACTATAGGCTTTTCAGTTTTCCTTGTGCTTACTTGTACTATACAGGTCAGTATAGTCTATCAGTCTAATATCTATCCTGCCCTCTATCCACCATTCATAGTGACAATAGTGGTAGGTGGACGATTGTCCAGATCTGCAATAGGCTAACTAGCAATAATACCACCCATAAAAGCATTCAAAGCTGCATCAATTTTCAATATGAATCGACAAGAACAAATAGGAATAGCTGATAGGCAGAGGACAGTGAAGAAATGAAACACACAGCTCAAAAAGCTCCCCTATTGATCTTGTTTAGGGACAGTACAGTTGTCCTACCTAGATTATAGTAGCCTACAACACCACAATACAATTAATACTTGCATTATTGTTTTCAAGTGAGTACAAAATTCTACTCTAGGCTGCAGTGAAAATGTAATTTGAATAATGCGCGAAAGCCCTGTGCTTTGAACGTTTCATTCCATTTGGATCAGTTGTGGGTCTACTCTCAACAGTTTATAAGCTCTAGAAAGGCACAGTAGCAGGCCAGTCTGGCTGTATCTTTACTTCTGATAATGAATGTGCTGTCTCTTTCAGATCATCATTTTCCCAAGTCGTCCTATAATAATGTGGCCACATATGCTCCCGGCAGGCCCAGTTATTCAGGAAACCTTAACACGTGCTCTGCCTCCTCCAGAGGGGTCATATTCCTCTGGCACCTAGAGCCTAATGCTTCAATATAGCCTAAATATTCATCATTTCACTTTTAAAATGTATTACCTTTTATACAGTATGTGACATAAACACAACCAGTCACAACATTTTAATCTGGTAAGGCTACTTCAAAAGTCGCTTGTAGGTATGTGCACCTTCATCCAAAATATAATTCCAGCATCCTCAAAATGGCTTGACATTAACCAGGTTTCCATCCAACATGTTGTGTGCTTGGTTACCTACATGTTGGATAAAACATGTCATGACATCATGGGAAAGCAGTCAGTTCATTAGGCTACAGATGAAATAATTTACGATGAACTTCACATGGTGGTGAAAGTGCACAGTGATGAGGTTGATGCTCATTTCAATAAATATGGAGGGTCTTATTCTGGTGACATGATTTTCGATGCTTGGCTGCCATTTGACAAATAAAAATAAATCATAATAATCTCATCATGTAGTAGGCTATACCTCCACTGTATCTGCAAGCTGTTGGCTGGAGCGCACGTGCCAATGCCAAAGTGGGCACATTTGCTATACCTACGCAACATTTATTGTGACAAAACCATCAGTAGGCTTAGAGTTGAAAATGCCATTTAACTTGTATTTTTTATTCAGTACATGGGAATTTAACCGCAAAAGTTATTTTGATGTGCCCTATGTATTTACTCACAGACTTTTATCCGCAACAAGTCAATTTGATTGAAACATAACTCTGATGGGAAAATGATCCAGGGTTTCTTCTAGCCGGTAATTGGCGGCTTTTGGGCAATAAAAAAAATGAAAAGCGGATAAATAAAATTGTAGCAGGCTAAATTGTCCAGGAGAGGCTGTCCATCGTAGCCTACACCCCGAATTCACGCTTCAGCACTATTCTCTCACGCCTTGTGCGCACGCTGAGCATGCTGGGTAGGAGATAGAGAGAAAGAGGAGCCTTGGCCTAGGCCACTGCTGATTGTGAAAATGGAGGCCTTTT